TTAACGTACCTGCTAATATCTCATGGGTCTGTGGTGGCTGGTGCTGCCTCTGCAGCTGTCACTTCCCCACTCAGTGATCCTCCACACCGTGAAATACATGAGCGTGGCTGGAGGGGAGAGGGTGGGTGCCTGTTCCCCGCGTTGCTGGTAATCGCCTCTTCTGCTCCATCCCAAACCGGAGCCGGCGGGTTCCCTTCCCATCTGTTGAGTTGGGGGGGCCCGGTGAGCGTATTTTAATTCGGAGAAAAACCCCAGTATTAGCATGCTAGTATTCCCAGGCATTGGGATTTGCTGAAGGTTTGACTTGATTTAGCTGTGCTATGAGAGAAGAATAAAAATATTGCTGTAGATGTTTGTTTGCCTGTAGATAGACACACAGTTGCTGTAGTATAGTTGGGTTTGTCATTGCATATCGTGTCCAGATTTGATTTTTCTCAAGATGGTCATGAAGTGAAACCCAGTGGATTGACACAGTGTCTTCACTTGTAAATCATTGTGCTGAGCTGCCCTGCTGCTATCGGAAATAATCACAAAAAACAGTGCTACATGACACAGATCATCCTTTGGTTTGAAGAACACAGTGTTAATTTTATGCTCTCCTTTCACATAAACACTCTCACTTGCACCTTAACAAGCCCCCAAACATTGGTTACCAAACGACCATATTATATCAACCCCCCCCTTTTGTTCACTCGCTATAAAATTGAACAACTGGGACTGAGAGAATTTGGCCTCAGTCCAAAACATGGCTAGATGCATCTGCATTTGGCTCTGTGCCCAAAGATATAATATTCAAATGTGAGTTGTCCTTAATTTTTGTTTAAATCATCCTTTTTACTTTTTTTTTTTTTTTTTTTTCCCAGGGAAGGTACAGTGCTTGCAAGATATTTTCCCCCCATTGTCAGATTATTTTTTTTTTTTAAATGCAATTTCTATCTCTTCTTTCCCCCTGGAATTCAGAAGAGATGAAACCCAGTGGGACTGTTTAGAAATTAAATGGGCCCCCCTAGAAACTACTCTTTCAGAACTACTTAACATTTAATAAAGAATGGTACCATTTCTGTAGTTTTTCAAACATCCTACAAAGTATAGTGAGGAACCTTATTTCTCTGATTATGTTTAAATTTTATTATTTTTTTTTTTATAAAAAGGGCTCTTATTGCCTTTGACATTCTAGGAGTTTTCTACTCAAACAGCTTTAGCTGGTACCGATGCTGGTTAATAATTATAAATATGCTATGGACAGCAAGGGCTTGGTACAGATTGTCGGGGTGGATACGCTGACTGCAATGGGCTTTGGGTCAAACCAGAGTAGATCTTTGCTTTCACTGGAGCTGCATGTAAAGCCTTTGTGTGTGAAGCTGCATGTGATTGAAGCAAGGCAGGACTTTGAGAAGTGTCATAGTATAAAATCAGTTGCCAATTCAGTCTTGTTGTGCACTTCTCTATTCGTGCTGCCCTAAATTCAGTGATAGGAAGGGGGGGAGTAGGTCAACGGAGAGTGTGACTTTCCGCTGAGGAAACACTTGCTGTATTTTCCATGCTTTGGTTGCTGTTATTAATACTGATAATGCTTAGCAGCAGTACCAATTAGATTGGTGTAAATAGAGATTATAATGTGGTTAGGGATAGCACAGTTGACAATACGTGTATTTAGTAAACAAGACTGTCAGTATGTATAAAACATCAGCAACATGTTAAAGCTTGATATTTCATAAGACAGCAGAGCATGGGGATTGCTTTGAGACAGCAAGCTGAAAAAACATTTCATTTATAAATGAAACGTGGTTTAGTGTTATAAACCCCAGCAGGCAGTTCACTCATTGGGGGTAATCATTCAAAATCTGCTCTTTGGTAACAAGCTGAAAGAGAGACAGGGCAGCATTTCCAAAGATATTGGGGGTTTTCTTAGTCCTTAGGAACAAGTTTATTTTAGCTTCAAGGTTTTTTCCAAATTAAAAAAATGCTGTCTTCTAACTGCAGAGTAGTCCTAAAAGGCTAGATTTAGTAATATTTTCCAGTTTTACATGAACTGTTACGTAAATTATGGCAAATATGGAGACTTAAAATATATACCACATGTGGTGGAGGAATTAAGCATCTTAATTAGCTACCTGATCCAACATCCTTGAGTAAAGTGTTTAAAACCAGCTATGGTGAGTAACTGCAAATCAACTGCTTGAGTGGCTGAAACAGCTACCTTATAGTCAAGGTATTTCTGAGACTGAATTGCTTACTGTCACTTCTCAGGCTGTTGTTACTGCTCTCTTACAATATGGAGATTGTCATCAGGGCTGGCAAGGTGGATTACCAGAATGCTGAAGCAGAAGATGAAGTTTAGGTCTTAGTAGGTAGATGTAAAACTGGAGTTGGTGTTAGTAAACACTGATCTCCTAGAGGTAACCAGGTGCAAAAAAAAAAAATTAATCTTGTCACTTATGAGGGATCAGCTTTTACTGAAACTGGACTGAAAAATCACCCATCCCTGGCTTGACATTTTCTCTTCCTCCTCTTTTCTTCCTATCTCCATGCGATCTCCATGCAGTGGTACTAGACTTTTTTTCCAGCTATAATTGTAAATACAATGCAAGTCTGGGAGTCATATAGTTGCTGTGGATATGCCATATTCAGCATTTTAAAAGAACACAATGAAGCAAAGTCCCAAGAGAAACTCTTGAAATACTTTTCTGCATCACTGGTCTTGCTGGGCACATGTTGGCCAGAATTGAGAGGAGACCCAACAAAACCAAATAACACTATTAAAATGTAGTGGACATAACAACATGTTCCCTGCTCCTCTTACTAGTTTCAGAAAATGTCTCAGTAAAAAATGGAGTTTTTCTTAAAGGTACTGGCAAGGTGACTCATCTTTCTTAAGTGGTATATCACTTAGAAATTTAAAAATGGAAATGATAGAACAGTTACTTTGTACTGGCCTCACGCACACACAAAAATGTTGGAATTTGTTGATGAGGCCAGAAATTTAGCCTAATTTAAGAAAAATTGGTGAACCTAGTGATGGAGGGGGAAGCAAGCTAGATGTACATCTGCATGAAACAAAACAGTCACACATTTATCTAAGTTCGAAGGGGATAACTGGGTATTTCTGCTAATCTGATGTTCTCTCTTTCCCAAGTTGTTCTTACTAGAAGATCTCATAGCTAGATATTTGTTCATATTGAATCTATTCCTTATATGTTTTAGATCTGGCAGAGTAACTTCCACAAATGAATTATCACAAGCATGAGCCATTTCTTCATTTTGAGTAGCGATTTTTACCAGTAAATGCTATTCTTCCTTAACCACTAGCAAGGAGGTTGTTGGAAAACAGCATCAAAATAATATCGCCTCTCTTAAAAAAAGACAGTGGAGGCAGACCTAATTTGTATATACTGCTGTTAAATTATAGAGCAGCACCAATGAAGCATGAATCATCACCTGCTGACATTTTGTTCAACTGACGGCTGCAGAGCACAATGTCTGCACGGTTAGACACTGATGTCAGGCTCAGTAGAGATGTAGAGATATGGAAAGCATAAAGATCAAAAAACCAGATGCTTAGTATGATTTGACCACCTGGGTATTGTCATTTCTCCAAGGAGCAATGTTGTGTGTGTCTACACCAGGAGGCTGTAGCTGCAGAGGATGGGGATAGCGTACGAGGTAGCCCTCCAGCTGCATGAAGCTTCCACTCTCACCAGCTGTGGGTCTCCCATGGGAAAAACATGTGGCAGCTCCTCAAAACCCCAGAGCAGTGAGGGCACCATATCGGTTGTTTCTATCAAGAGACACTGAGACTAAGCCGAAGCAGCGATGCCTGTGAGAGCTGAGCCCCGGGGCAGGGGGTAGGTGGAACACTTCTCATTGCTGCCTTGCAAAAGTCACACGTGGATGTGGAGGTCCATGTGCCCCTGCAACTAAATATTTCCGCTTGAGTCAGAAGGTTGCTTACAAGCAACTGCAGATGTGCATTGTGTTCACATTGATCATTCAGTGTTATTTTTAAGTTTGATGAGGAAAAGGTTATGAGGAACCGTCCCTTGTGCGATGCTGCCGTGAAGCACTGGACCCAGTGGCTGTGTTACACGGAGGCTCCTGTTTCCCCGAGCTGACCGGCTGCCGCCCAGATACAGCCTGTAAGGAGCTGCTTAGCTTCGAGTCATTTCTGAACACCACGAGTATCGTGCAACTTCCCCTTATTCATTAGCAACAAGTGCAGAGGCTGAAATGTTTATGATTGTGTTTCAGTGCAGATGGTTTGTTTTTTTTTTTTTTTCTTTTTTTTTTCCTTCTTGGGCCTACCATGTGGCTCTTGCCAAACTGCTGTCTGGGTCTTTCCCACAGCACCTTCTCCATCCCACCTCCCTATGGCAATAGCTGTGCTGGCTCTCCCGTCAGCTGCCTCCTCCACAACAGTCAAGCTCTTGTGAAAGCAACTCAAAATCCTTCCATCGGGTGTTTGAGTGACTGTGTTACGGACATCATGGGCCACATGTGCATGCCATATCTCTGGGTTGTGCCCTCCAGTGCTGATTTTAGGTTACAGATTTTCTCAGGAACAAATGAGCTTTTCTATGACTTGTGCAGGTCTAACTTCACCTTCGGTGCTACGTGGTTACCGAGAGGCAGACACAGTCTTTTCAGCTGGCTACTTTGGCAATTTTTTCTGGAAATGGTTTAGGTCTAGCTCATGACAAACCTTTTGTGTCCATTTTTCCATATCTTTGACTTTTGTTTTCTCATTAAGAACCCTCACACGTTTAGGGAGAGGGTATTTTTTATTCTCTATGTGAGAAAAAAAGGACTCATTTACTGTAACACTTCCCTTTTCTTCGTCGTTTGCTTTCCCCTAAAGCTGTGGCAGCCATTTCTTTCAATCGTTGCCCAGTGAAATCCCGAGAAGCTCCATGGACTGCAGCGAATGCCATTTTCTCTCTGAAATCCCCCAGCAGTTTTATGGCAGCTGTGGAGTCTTTTGACCCTAGCAGAAGAGGTGGTGTTTGATCCTTACAAGATAGCTGTTCCATGTTGGATTCCTATTCCAAAATTCCAGTTAAAGACTAAAGTGGTAAGTTCATTATCTAACATACATAATGTAACAGCCACAAAATGATGTTAACGTAACAGAAATTATGTGCTTTCTGAGTAGGAAAACAATCTAAAATGAAAAGCCGCTTCTCAGTAACAGCTTTAAAAAGTATTACTTAATTGTTTTTTTGTTTTTTTTTTTTTTTTTTTCTAAAAATCTTATATTTGTTTCAGGAGATCCAAAGAGCCTGCTTTAAAGGCTCTTTCTGTCCAGTTTCCTCCACTGGCCTGTAGCAGGTTTGAGCTGTGTCCCATTTTGTTTCCCAATGTCCAGCCCTTTCTCTGGCTGGTGATCTCCCAGCCCACGGGCAAATGCCTTCCGTCTCCTCCCTCTGAAGTTCAAGGGCAGCCAAAAACTCTCTGAACAAGCCTTTGATGCAAGTGGTTTTTGGCTGTTCCTATCTCAAAACACAACAAGCTCCTGCCTAACACTAATGAGAAGATTAAGATGAATATGATGGTAACAAATCAGACCAAGGGCCAGTCCCATAGGCAGGGCAGGTATCAAGGTGAAAAAGTGATAATTTAGTGCTTTTTCACCTCATGGATGCTTAGTTGTCATTGAAGAGAGCACACTAGAGAAGTGATGCAGAATTACTCACCCTTGCAACTGCTGCAGAGTGTAAATGAAAGTTACTCTGTTTTGTCACTGAAATAAGGATGCATCCAACTTGCTGGATGCAGACCATTATTTTAACCCTAGAGAGCTCCTGGGTCTTCCAAAATAGCTCAAAGAAAAGGCCTGCGTAATTTATAAAAGAAACAGGGATTCTTTTGATATTTTGGATTCCTCTAATCAGAGAAATTAAAGGTAACTTTGCTATTATTTCTTCTGTGTTTTCTCCTTTTCACACCTCCCCACAGAGTAAGGTTTTTGATGAATAAGCAACTGATGATCACATTATTTCTCTAGATCCTCTTTGGCAGCAGGAATATTGAAAAGTTAAGAAACAGAAATGCTGTAAGGGTGTTTCTCCCCCTCATTAACTTTCCTCTGTATTTCAGCTTTCCACCACCAATAATTCTAGAGGAGACTTGCATTCCAAAAAGGTAAATTTAATCTGGCATTTCTGCTATTCTTCCAAAGACTCACTTATCACAACATACACAGGGATAGATAGGGGTTACTCACCTGAAGTCTATCTTAATTTAGTTTAACTATATGGGATATATTTTCTCCCTTCCCCAACACCTGCCCTAGGGTAGTGAGTGAGATGTAACATATTAATCAATACAAGTTTTCTGTGGTGGTCTCAAAGATGGGAATAGAGTTGAAAGACTGTACAATAGTTGTTAAAATACGAATGAAATGCATGACTGAGGTCTACTGCAGTATGTTGACAGCTTTTGGGAATCTGTAACTCTTTTTCAAAATGACCCCGGGGGCGTGGAGGGGGAAAGCAGCTAAAATCAATGAATATTCAACTTCTTGTTCCTGTTAGGCATGTAATTCTTCACAAATTTCAGTGAGTTTAAGTGTCCAGGCAGAAATGTGAACCCTGGATGAGGCAGCGCTAACTGTGTGGCCTCTTAAAAGAGCTTCTGGCCAACATGGAAACAGTTCTAGTCCCCACAGGAGAGAACTGGTGGGAAGTGATTCTAAGGTCCCTTCTCTGAACAAAAGGACCATACAGCAGTTTGTAAAAATAGTGGTGGTATAATGCTATTTTAACATATGCAATAGTCAAATACTTTATTGGCTTGGCTTGTTATGAGTTAGGACCCTAGCTTGGCACGTACACCTGGACCTGGTCTTGTCATAGGGATCTTATTTTACAACTTTTGTTTGTTTTTAACAGCCACATACAAACCCTTGGTCACACAAAGCATTTATCTGTTCTGGTACCTGTCTTTGTGAACAATAAGTCAAGCACAAGACAGTTAAATACCTCTATATGGGATCTAACCTCAACCACTTTAAAGTATTCTTCAACTCAGAAACTTGATCATAAAAATAGTGTGTGCATGTTTACTGCATGCAGTTTTGTTCCCTGTTACTTTCTCTATTGTGTACGTTACACTAAAATATTTTTTTTAATACCAAATACTCGTTACCTGAGCCTGCCATCCAAGAGTCCAAATACCTTCTTCTCTAGTTGTTAACTATCATCAGCAGTGAAAATGCAACAGGCTATATTTTCCACTGCCACAGCTTTTCATTCAATGTTAGATTTAACACAAAGTTACGGTTAACACACTGCCCATGTATTTTGAAATTAATTGTCAATGTTGCTTCCTAAAAAGAAATAACCAAGCTCATTTTTTGCTGTTTTATCTCTGCAGGGCAGGCAAGGAGCAGAAGCAACAATAACAACAACAAAGATTTGATGCCTAAGCAGATATAATTTAAAGGCAGTGAGAAAATGTTTTCTAAATAGTTTTTTTTTTTTATTATTATTATTCAGTAACAATTATTCTCTTTATTCCAAATACTTATGATATTGAAGAATTTATGCATAGCTTCTTTAACAACACGAAGGTTCTGTGTTTTGCCTTCCCAAAAATAAATATCAAATCTTATTTCCTTTGTAAAATATGCAGTTTTCCCATAGGAAAAATAATAAAATTCCCTAATAACTTTGTTAAATTGTTTGCAGGTGTCAGTCATAAGTATAGACATGAATAAACCAAAATAATGTTTGTATAATATTAAAGAATCATAAAACAGAAATACAGCACGAATAAACTGAAACATCAAGGGATCTTGAATATAATTCTAGTTTTTTGTTGCATATGGTACTGTCTGGACTGTGTATGCATCTCCCCTCTTCTAGTGATACAGCAACCTGCTACAATTTCATCTTAATAGGGTGTAGATGTAGTCTTTTAGAGGGAAAAAATATTTCCCTCCAAAACAGTGTCAAGAAATGTGTTCTTGATATATTACAAAAGAGATTTAATAATAGATTCTGTCATCTAACATAGAGAAGTATTTCGATTCCCTAATATAAATTGTAGTAAACTTTCTTTAGCATCTATGTATATCTGTACTCTCACCACAGAAGCTTGATAGAACTCTTGATATTTAGCTTCAAGCACAGTATTTACTGTGCAGCATGTTTTTTGGTTTGTTTTGTTTTTTTCTTGATGCTGAAATGGCTTTCTTAACAGCCAAAGAAAGTGTATTTGTTTCTATTGAAAGGTAGCTATCTCACTTTTCCATGTTGACTCATAAACAAATGCAGTTGCATGGGTTATTTTCCTTGACTTCATGTAGTGTACTGCTGGTAAGAGAAACTGAGTAAGTATGTTCCTGCTACAAAGAGGTAAAATAGAAAAAAAAAAAATCCTTTCTGTGGTACTTTTTTAGCTACTTTAATTTTTCGTTTTCCACACTCAAAGATTCAAGAACAAATATTCAAAGTACAAAAAAGTTACATGCCTCAGTAAAATGTAACAGGTATTGCATACTTTAAGGAAAGCGTCAGATATATTGTCCAGATTTCCAATGTGTGTGCAATGGGACACCCATCACCAAAATATTTCAGCACTTGGACAAAAATCATTGTATTACGAAGCTCTCCATAAGCATGGTGAGTGATCTGCATTTCTCCAGCCCCAGGCTTCTGGTGAAGGGTACAAGCAGCTGACACTGTGGCCCTGAAAATACTCTAGCCTTAAAGCAAACTAAGCCTTCTGCTGAGCAGTTTTAGAGTTTAGGAGAGGTTCTGGCTGTTTAGTAGCATTAGCTGTGGTGGAGGGATGCTGTGGAGGATCCTGCCACCCGTCTCTGCCCCTGCAGACACAGCCCTCTGCTCCTCGAGGGTGAGGAAGGGGTGCGCAACGCAGGTGCTTCGGCGGGACAGATCCTTACAGGAATACGTTGCTAGACCACAAAACCAAGACTGTTGCCCCTTTAGGCCACCCTTACCGACACCACCACTCTGCTAAAGAGCTAGAGGCTGCCTTGGTGCAGAGATGCTGTGCTAGTGAGAGCAAGGGCTGAGGCAATGTCAACCTAGTCTCAGCAGCAATCCTAGAAATACCTTCCTGGGGTTCTTCCAGCTCTGCTGTGTGCAGAGTACTTCCACGGAACATGCATGCCTTTGTTTTGATGAAATGCAGAGTGCTAAGAAAGTGCTGTGTGTAGGTAATATTTCCCATCTACCCTGTCTGCAGCGTATTCTGTAGTCATCCTGGAAACTGCTCTGCTAATAGATTGGCTCCTGATGTGGTGTCTGCAGTCCTTGATCAATTATTTTTGCTCATTTTTTTGGCTCAGAACAAGGACCGCTTTCTGTAAAGTAAGTGCTGGCTTAAGCATTCTGTGCTTTTTCCCTGGGTGTGTTTGCACGTGTATGTGGATATATAATGATGTGATATCTCTGAATCTAGAGCCTGGTGATTTTTCTCTTGCAGTCTATGTCAAATCATCAGGCGTAGCTGTGGTGCTATGAAATAAATCTCCCTCAAAAAACAGTATACCAGTCATGGACTGAGCCAATCTTGGCACCCAGCAGCAAGTAACGGTCGTGTTCTCCTGCTGCGGCATTGACTCATCTCTTCCCTCCGAGACGGAACCATGAACTGGGGATTGGGGGGCAGAACCCATGTCGTGGGGTCATATTCAGCCCGGTGGTTCATCCACAGGGCTGGAGAAAAGCCCTTACACCGGGGATCGAGTGGGCAGCTCTTTGATGACAGAGGCTTCTTCAGAGTCCCATGACCACTTTGCAATCATAGCTGGTTGCCCAGGTGGGGTTTTGTTTGCATGCCTGGCTTTTGTTTGTGACAGTATGCAAATACAAGTGTCCTGCACCTCTAGATAATGACAAGGAGTGGAGTTAATTTTTAAGGAGAAGCTGTATAAGCACGGCACAGTTAAAGTTCTTGATGTAAAGAAAGTCACCAATTCACAAAGGAATTTGATTACCTCTATCCATTATACACACACAGTGAGTGATCGTGCTACTAACCATCTGTCATCTATTTCATTTGCATCATCAACACCTGCCCTGTTTATCTGCTACATTCTTTTCTTCGCTGAATTCTTACACTGCTTTAATAAAACACAGAAATGTTATTGTTAAAAACCAATTAATTTACAATCCTCCATAGAGATAGTATTACTTATAATTCAATTTAGCTTCTAATGACCTGCTTTCTTGCAAAATGACTTAATTCTAGTGTCAAAGATTAGTTATTAGACATTACCCTGCTGCACCAGTCATGTACTGCTGAGACAGGCAAAGCAGCTCTAGGTGTCCCTGGTCATTAATCAGAACTTGGAGACATTTTCCCTTTAACTCATTACAGAACCTGATTTCATCTGCCATTTTAACTCTTTGGTTTACAGAGTATTTTGAATCTACTTTTCCTTGTGGTTTTGTACTTTGGGCCTTCAAGGTTGGAGAACAGATCTGGAAGTCCGTTTGCTTTGGAAAAAGCTGTTGTTGCCCACGCTTTCTGCCGACCCTCCGCTGAGGAGTTCATTTTGTATCTCAGCCTGCATGCGACTGGGGCCTGAAAAGCAGTACTTGCCTTTCCCTATGTCAGTTTTGGGGAAATTAACACAAATGGATTTTCCACGCAATTACAGCACTGGGTGTGCTTTCCTCCTCCCAAGAAGAAACAGAATTCTCGACATACAACTCGGAGGCCAACCTGCCTCCCCAGGAGAGCCTCGGAGAGGTGGCTGCCACCAGCCGCCTCCTTCCTGAGCTTCCCAAAAGGTATCGTGGAGCCAGTGTCCAAACCCAGCCAATTCTCATGGCATCGGCTGGGCTCACGGGCACTCAGAAGAATGGCTGGTTTTGTAGTTCACACGATGATGTTCCCATGTACAAAATACTACATGTAATCTAAGGCTGGGTCAAATTCTTCTTTCTCACTATGTCCCAGGCATGGGTTGGATTTTCTTACTCATTACTAGTATGGCTGCTTCCTCTTTTTCAAGTGGCATAGCACTTTACTGGGAGTCACCCTACTTGTGGGTCATTTGCAGACTGTGATATGACAGTAAGGATGGATTTGATCTTTGGAAAACTGTCTAAAGCACTATTCTGTATCTCTGTGGTTTTTGTTTCTGTGACAAGAGAAATACCTGCCATTAATTTAAATCCCAAATCTTCAGAGTGTTTCAGCAACAAAGAGCATAGAAATTGCATATACAAGTGGATGGATTATATATAGAAATTAAACCTTTTAAACAATTTATGACAACTTAAGCTTTTGAACAATTACATGCAGAGTATTTTTAAAATGCATAACAAAATTAAAACTTCAGGCTCATCAAAAGCCATTCATGGAGATGGCACAACTGGCAGGATTTAATGTGGAAAAGGTTATTTCTTCTATTCACAGCCAAGTCTATATGCTGCAGTACTACTTCCAATAAAATCTTATTTTTAGCATGTTTAAGTGGTACAGCTTAGAGTGGGTGAAATTTTTTATTTTCCCAAAATACAGTCACTTCTGTCTTTTGAAAACTGAGAAGCTACCTAGTGTTATAAAAGGAAAATAATGTCTCATCTGACTTCTTGACAACTGCATGCCACGCTGGAAGAATAAGAGATGCTCATTATTTTCCTAAAACACAGGAATTGGCTGTACAGTGTAGGCTGACGAAACTTCAACAGCTGTCTTCTAAGAAGCAGGTTTTTTTCACAATAGACTATCAAGGGACATGTGAATAGTACACCAGACTAACTCTTAAACAACAGGCATTCTTACAAATGATCAAACTCAGCTATGAGTGCCTAAGAATAACCTCCTTTGGATGGCAGGGGTGGGACATTGCTCTTCACGTGCTGCAAATGCTAAAGCTGTACATAAAACATTATGCTGGGTGAATGCTCTGTTTATATAGCTTATAATATTTGCAGACAAAATCCATCTGAACTACTAATATCTTAAATACTGCAAGGACCAGCCCTTTGGACAATATGGTAAATCTCTTTGTATAAGCATCCTTAACAGCACTGCTTTCCAAATGATATAGACTTATTGTTTCGATCAGACTAATAAATAATTCACATTTCTAAATGGTTTCTACACAGGGTGATGGAACATTGTGGTAGGGTAGGAAACATCCAGCTAGAGCCTAAAACGTCTTCAGACATAATCCTAAAATAATCCTGTTTTCAAATGGTAAAAGTTCGTGCCTCCTGCTCAGGCGGCACATCATCAGCATCCAGATCAGGAGTTATGCCAAACTAGCTGTAATCTAATATGGAAATGAGATGTTGGCCTTGATATTGTGTCATTCTTCTGAATGGGATCACCTGCACCCATATCTCCTAGGAGGAAATTTCAAACAGAGTTAGCTCCTTAAACCTTCTAATTAAAATGAGAAATCCCCAGGCTTCCATGACTCAGCCTCGGAAAAAGATTATTAGGAATTTAATAGGGAAAATATCGCATC